TAGGCTAGGCCTTTGACACACTGCACTGGTGATTTATGCTTGTGAATATTCATTATAGCAAATCCAGTGGCTTTTCTGCTCACTTTGTTTTTTGGAGACTACCATGCAACATACCAAATCTCCTTGCAAGCTATAACCAGCACCCTGGGGTAGAAGTTTGCTGCATTTGAATCCCATTGCATGCAGGACAGCAAAGAGTACCTGGAGTGCAAATGCAGCATTGCTTATTGTAAGGGAAAGCTGTATAAAAGGAGAGGCAGTAGGATAGTTGCCTGAATTTACTCCATGTGTGTGTGTTAATATCAGTCAGCTTTTACCCATCTTGAGACTAGTCATGAGAAGGCAGTTAGGGGAAATGCAAATTAATTCTGAATTTTCTCACAAAAGAGAAAAAGACAGTACATGAGAAAACAGGCAGGAGATAATAGAAAAAAATTCCAGAGTCAGAAGCAAAGATACGTGAGTGAACAAGTAGGAAAGGAGATGCCACAAGATTAATTTGTCTTTGTATGTACAGTGATCACAGGCTAAAACTCTGAAATACTATTTCTATTTCTGACACAACTTGGCTCTGTGACCTTGAGAAAGCCTGGTTCCCTAAGGGTGCTCTGAGAAACCCTATTAGTTCTTCTGCCATTTGAGCTAGGCTGTAGCAAGATAATAGGAGGGAAGAAATTTTTTATTTTTAGGGAAGGACATTACAGACTAAGTGACCTCCATCTGCAAAAAGTTATATCATCATCTACATAGAATTTGATATCCATTTTTTTGTCTCTAAGAGGAGATTCAGACATACTGCAGCATGCTGAAGCGTCTTTGTTTCAGCTGATGAACTTTTCTGAATATCTGTGAGCTTTTATTGAGCATCTTATCTGCAAAGTGTCTTCATATCACCTGGGAAAGATTTACAACGTTTTCTGAATGTACCATGACTGAACAAATGAAAGTGTCAATACAAATGTAGGGTGTGTATACTGACGTTTTTCTGCAGAAAAGTTTCACTGAGTGACGTATCTTGAAAGGAGAGCCAAGGGGGATGAGAAACTCTTGTAACTGCTCATCGCCTTGCCTCTAATTAGCAATCACTGTATGAGAGCCTTTTTTTAAAAAAATACAGATTTATTATTTATTTTAATAGGATTGATTTTTGTACAGAAAGTTTTGTACAGTTCTGCTTTCTATGCTGAAGCTGGAAACATCAAATAGAAATGCAACACTTTTTGTTTTAGCTTACTGTGCTATTTTATTGATAAGAAATATCGAGTGCTTGTTAAACTGATCAAATACAGATATTTCTTTCTTCCATCACAATTGAAGTGAAAACTTTTTCAGACTTTGTAGAGGCAAACACTGTGCAGATTGCAAAGTTAATGCTGAAGAGATAGCTGAAGCAAATCTCTTGAGGATGAGGGAAGGAATACTTGGTCACAGAAGTAACAGCATGGTATCTTCTTTGCTGCATGCATGCAAAATCTACGTGCTTATGGAATGCCATCTTCATTTCACTGAAGTCAAGAGTTTTGCTGTTGAACAATTTTGGCCAGGATTTTACTGTCTCTGTGGCTGGGGTTTTTTGTGATTATTTTTTTTTTTCCTTAATGAATTGACACGAGTAATCATATATTCTATAGCAATCTTAGCTGCTTAGTCGAGGGGGGAAGGATATTTGCTGTTTCTCATTCTGGTTTCTATTTTTATATTTGTACCATCCTCTACATTAGCCTGTGAGTGCTGTCAAAAATGCATCATAAATCAATTAATCTTGAGAGCTCTTTGATGCATTTTGATTTAAACATGCTTATCCTTACAATATAGGGTCCTGGATGCTCAGATACAGTAATCAGTGATTTCTCTGATTTCCTGTAGTCAAATCTTAACAGAAAAAACATGAGTAGTCTGTGCATTTATACTTAAGTCATTTTTCCTTAAAAGAAAGAGCCATAAAAGGGGAGTGTTTAGAGCTTTCAAATTAAACCAGTCACAGAGAAAATTGGTTTATTTTAAAAATTGAACAAAATGAAGCATGTTTATTGTTTTTGGGGCAGATTGAGGCCAACCCCTGCTTTTTTTCTTTTTAGTCATCCCCTGGATATGGACAAATGGTTAGAATGATATAAAAGAGAGTGTCAGGGTAAGGCCATCATTGGAAAATATAGGTATATCTTAGCAAACAGTTTAATACCAAATATTTCGAGGGATTGGGATATATGGGAAACAGTCATGAAAAACCCCAGGATGGGGATGATTACATTGGAATCAAGAGTCAGAGGAAGGGATTGGGTGGGGGAAACTGAGCGTCTGTATAGTAAGTACCATTGTATCTTCAGCCACTGTAATTAAAAATCACTATATTTCAAAATAATAAGCCATGTGGAAAAATCACCTTCTTTTAGTTTGATAATTCTCTGTGCTTAGCAATGGTGCTCTTCAGAAACTAATGATATTACTGGGAATATTTTTTAATTACAAAAAAACCCCAAAAAAACAACACAACAAACAACTCTTGAAAATTTGTCTTCGTGATGTTTAAGATATTGATTAAAAAAAACCCAACGTCTTCACTATTTACTGAGGATTGTTTTAAAGTGAATAAAAGAAATTAAATTATTATTTTGCCAGCTATTCCCCACCATAATGTGGGTAGACTTGCCAGCTCATTTACTGGATACTTTCATGTTTGCATGTTTTGAAAATATTTTCCTTTTTAGACTATAATTCTGATGGTGGCTACAGTTAAATAGTGTACAAAATTGGAAGGCTGAGTTTTTGTTCTTTGTTTTTCTTCTCCATTTTTATAGTTTCCTCTTTTAAGAAAAAGTTCCAACTCACCAATTAAAAAACCAGCAGCAATAAAAAACCTCTAACAAGCAAACAAAACAAAAACCCCAAAGTATGGTTTCCTTGGGGAAGTCCAGTCTAAACAAGTATACAGCAATAAATATTAACAGAAGAATTAAATGATTTATTAGACAATCTTTAGTTAGGAAAGCTTCTTAACTCTTACAGCGGTCAGTGGGATTAAAACATGTGCTTAACCGGAATCATATCCCAAGGGCTTTCCTCATTTGCATTTTACTTGCTCAGAGAACTTCAGGTTTGCATCCTTTTTTTAGGTGCAGTGGATATTGTAGCTATTTGAGCGAAATTAAAGCATTCCTAAAGCAAGAGAGTGCATTGGAATGGTGTTTTAAGAATGAAGTGCTTGCTTACTGCTTTCATAGTGTTTGAAACCTTTTATTTCTGGCTCATTTCCAATGTGGAAGGAATTTGTTTTCAGAGAAATATTGTTGCCAAGGGACAAATGTTGACTGTGTTGTGTTTAAAACAGATTGATATTAATTACATTCTTTTAGCTATTCTACTTCTCTGGATAACTTTAAAAGGTCCTTCCAATTTCCAGAATACTTAGGTAAGCTCTCGGAACGTTAGCACAGTGTCTTGGCATTGACGTGAAGAATGTATTAGAGAACTGGCAAGAGCCGAACTTATTTTGTGCACGGTCAAAAAACGCTGTTTTCAGATGGTTACACTAATGAATAACATAGAACAGCATTAGTGAATGTAGTGATTTCCCTCCCTTCCCTCTTTTACATATAAAGTCTTTACCTGAGCCAGTTGTCAGACAACCTGTGTGGAGCACTGCTTAAAGCATTTGACCAAGAGGAACAGGCTTAAATTTTTCCAGGACCCGTTCTGTGACTGAGGCAGCATGATCTGGAGCAAAGTCAGTCTTTGGGGTCTTCCAGTTTCCCACAGATAAGGTGAACTTAATATTTTATATTGGGTTTTGGTTCTTCCAACTGTCTGAGTCCACAGAGCAGTTTTGGGCAAGCCTCCTTGAGCTAGGCTAGTGCTGATGGTTGCAGTGACGGGACTGGTCACCCCACCAGAACTTGCAAACAGTGTTAGTTTGGGTTTTTTTCGACTAGCTCCTGAAGACCGAGCCCAGCTCATGTTTCTTTGTCTTCTGCCTATTTCAGTGGTTTAGATAATTTTGTCTGTATTAGGTAGAATGGCACTTTTCAAGTATTTTTGCTTAATACTCAAACAAATACTGGGTCAAGAGAGCATAGTGTACATAACAGCTGCACAGAGCTCACCTTAGGGTGGCAACCCAGCAGCCTTGCCCTGCTTCTGCAGGAGTCCTAGAGGAGGGTAAAACAAGCTCAGCCAAAACAGGTGAATTTTCCCACCCAGCTCTCTCCTCAGCCTTCCATGTCTCTTTGCAGTTGTTTTTTCGGCCTTCCCATCCTCTCCTCTCATCCCTCCCTCAGTGGGATGAGTTCAGAGTGTCCTGTGAGTTTCTGGGAGAAGAGCTCCAGCAAGGTTCTATGGGTCTGAACTCCAGCCCTGCTGGTTTACAGCCCTTACTCCTGACCAGTGATTGATCCTCCTTGGAGCTACGTTGATGCAGTCTGACAGCTTATGCTCAACTTCTGAAACCTTCCTGGAAAGCTATAGGCCTGTTGGACATGGATGAAGACCTGCTTTAGTGGTTTTAATAAAAGGTTACATCCTTGTTGCCAGCTACAAGCTCTCAATACAGGCATGTGTTTCTTCCCTCCATTCAGACTATGGAAGCTGACCTTCCTGCTTACTTGAATCCCAATGTGAAAGCTCCCTTTCTCTCAGCTTTCCTGCCAGTCACAATCCCTGTCGCTTATTAGCCTCTCTCTGCTTTCCTCAAAACTTGCTTTATCCTAACACCCCTCTGGAAACTTGTCCTGATAGAGGTAAGCACTGGCTTAATTCTCCAGATCAAGCTATTTAAAAAACCTAAACGTTACTCATCCCAGTTGACCCTGAAGAGACAGTCTTACATTTAGGAGCTCATGCTGACTGACAAAAGAACACTGCACATTTACAGAGGAGTTGTCCAAGTTACATTAATAAATTGGCATTCCATATATGGATTACTAGGGAACATAAAACTGCCTACATAAAGCTGTAGTATCTCATTAGCATTCCATTTAAATAGGTTTATATTTTTGTCTGTTTAGGCCACTTCGACAGAAATATCTGAGTATTCATCCGATAATGACAGCGTGGGAGAAGGAGAAACAAGCCTGGCGACCACTACTCGGGGATCCACTGAGGGGTTACAGCCGAGGTTGGGAGCGGACACTGGGGATGTCACAGCACGACCAGCCAGCGGGTGGCTGAGGTCTGCGCAGGCCCTTCTCCGCACCCCCGGGAAGCAGGCGGGCAAGGCCTCCCGAGGCCCCTCCGAGTCTGCCAAAAAGAGGAAGCTACTGAGGTAAATGCACCGTCCACCTTAAGGAATTCCTTTTTTCTTTTTTTTTTTTAAATTGTAAGTAAAATAATACTTACAGAAGTGTAGGAATGTGTTTCAAGGATAAACATTTTAGAGGTGCAGATTCAAAAAAAGTTATAAAGAATGTCATTTGTAAACAAGCAAAAAAGGCAAGAAAGAGCTAAGTTCAGTTTTAAAATCTGTGGTGAAAGCTCTCAATCTTGAATTCCTGTGTACAAATTGGTTTGGTTTTTGCACTTTTAATAATGCTTTACACTGCCTTACAGATGTGTGAGTGGACATACTTCTGTTTTAACTTCTAATCCTTACAGTGCTTTGTGCCTTTTCAGATAGCCTGCAAAAATGCTGTACCTCTGGTTTTTTGGGGTTTTTTTTGTCCTCTCCAGATTTGTCAGTGCAAAATTATCCAATATACTCTGGGAAAAGGGTGGATGAACAATAATTCTCAATAGTGTAGGACAGAATGGTATTTAGGCAAAGGGAGGATGTGTTCTTAATCTGAAATTTAAATCTCTGTGACTAAATTAAATACATTAAAAAGATATCTAAATGCTGAAAGAAAACAGCATGGGATTAAGAAATGGAAGCCTGACATTCTAGCTAATTACAGTGCAGAAATGGTCACTTCCTATATTGAATTAATGAAAGTTGTGTTAAATGGTATATGTGAAAATATACTCTAGCTGTGGAGACTACAATTAAAATGTTGCTGCTATAAATTCCTATTGTACTTTTAACAATGTGATTGTTTTTTCTTTTGCAGCTGATTCTATGTACAGTAATCAATCAATCAATTACTTAAAAAGTAAATCTTCACGTTAGTTAATACACATACCTTATTTTTCTCTAAAATATTCTTGACTATTTCAAAATGCTGACTGAGGAAGCAGGTTTGGAAGTCCTAATTACGGAGGATCTCTATACTTAAAGTGCTTTGCTTGTGCAATCAAGCTTTCTTGTTACTTTAGAAACATACAGACACAGCTGTACTAGGTCAGACCAAAGCTGTAACCCCAAAAAATGCCTTTTAGTGGCCAAAAGCAAGTGCATGCAAAGGTAGTAAGAACAGGACAAGTGTACAGTGGTATTTTCCCCAGGTGCTTTTCCAGCTTTCAGCAGTTCAGGAGCTGTTACCCTTAGTGGGTTTGTGGTTTTTTGAGTTTCAGCTTCATTTGATGACCTCTCCTATAAACAGTCTTAGCGTAAAAAATGTTTTACGGCAAAGATACTCTGAAACAAGTGTATAAGAGAATAAATTGCTTAAAAAACAAAGAAGCCAACAAAACCAAACCAACCACAATGATACAGAATGTAATCTGTCCAGAGTGGCCAGAGTAGCAGAGTTTGCGGGCTTTTTTACCCTCCATCCTGTGGTTCCACTTCGGGTTCTTTTAGGAACAGGGAAGCAGGCAGGAAATTCCTCAGTTATGAGTGTTGTTTATCTAGTTATTTTGCTCATCTAGGTAATTGTCATCTTTTCACTCTTCCTGTTCAGGGCATTAATTCCACGTGTCTCTCCCATCCTTCCTTTTACTGTTGACAGAGAACATTTTCATTGGTGCGATAACAGTGGATATAAGAGTTTGTATCCTCAATAGGAAGGCTCAGGTTTTCAGTGCCGTAGATTGAAGGCCAGTTCAGGGAAAGGTTTGTCAGCTTCTGATTGATGAGGGGACAATTCCCTCTTTCTAGTTAAAAAGGTGAAAGTTACAAAGCAGTTGTTGGCTCGTCATTTCTCCTTCCTTCCTATCTCTGCTGCAGATGGAGGCCACAGCAGAAAAAGCAGTGAGCAGGGAAATCATCCTGCAAGCTGGATGGCCCACAGGCTCCCACTGGGACGGACCATTTGGATCTGCGCAGTAGGTGGAAGAGAGCTGAGAGTCTCTACTTAGCTGAGCTCTCTTTTTCCAGGCTGGCGCCTAGGGAAGCACGGATTGGTGAAGGTGATAGAGCTGCCATCTTCCAATGTGAATTCCTGTGTAGAATAGGTTCTACTCCAAATTCAGACAGTATTGAATATGGTTATTTCATGGACAAGTCCTGATGTAGGTAGAGTAGGCTTCCTACTGTTTTGTTTCCTCTTTAAAGAAAATAGAAAATATTTTAATTTTCATCTCTTTGCTGTTTGACGTGAGTAAAGCTATCTTCAAAAGTAAAGATAATATTTTCAAAAAAAAGATTTTAGCTAATATTTTGTGTAAAAATCTTATACCATGTATAACAGTCCTGTCCAAAATTTTTAAGCATGCTGAAATCTGCACTTATATTTGCATTACCTGATTGCAGCTATGCCTCTGTTACCTCAGTGGCTACGTTCTTCTATGCAACCTCAAAGAAAACCCCCTAACATCACCGTCAAACCACAAGCAAAACCAAACAAAAAAATGCAAAGAAAAGAGCCTTAACAGTCTGTGGAAACATTCAAATGACTTCCTTTCTACTGTCCTGTCCTCCTGGAATCCTCCTGGTGCTAAAATGGAAATGGGTAATTGTCTGGATGGGAGGAAAGAGTATTGTTTGTTTGAGTCTATTACAGATGCAATTGTCATACACTACAAAAATTAAGATGTAACCAAATCAACAGAAGTCTTCAGAAGTAAGCTAATTATGGATGATTAAAATAAATTTTGTTGAACTTAGTGTTAGAAATTTGAGTGTAAATTCAATATAATTGAGTGTAAATAAAATGGGAAGCCCATCTACATCCCCAAATGAACATGCACAATATCCAATGTTGCTTATGATGAGCCAAATTTAAAGGGGCATATTGCAGTCCTCTTCTGTAAGGAATTAAGTAGGGTTTTGTGAAATGATTGGTGTCTGATGGCAAGAAAGGTGTGACAGAAGCAATTCCTCTCCCCCCATGTTTACTGCCAAATTCTTGTATGTCTTATGTGTCCCCTGTAATGTTAGTTGTTTTTTTTTTCAAAAGTGTTCTAGGTAAAGATTATTCTTCTTTCTACCCATGGTTCCTAGGGGAGAGCAGGTAGTCTATATGGTGGTATTTGCCCTTCAGGGGCATTGGTGCCAGGCTGGTGCTGTAGGAGGTGCCACTTTGTCATGCCAGAGGCAAAGTATATCATCTCTCATTTGCAGCCATCAATGCCACTGCTCTGGGACATCCTCACCTTAAACACTGGTATTATATGCTATCTTGTGTATCTGCCTTCCTTTATTTAAATAAAATTGTTGATGGATGTGGGAGCAGTGTAATTTTCCTTGTACTGCGCCTGTAAGCTACTGAGTTGGTAATTAAGTGCTAGTAGTGGTACTTGATACTGAGATGAATTGCCTTGATGATCAGGTCAAGGAGTGTTGGGTTTAGATGTTTCTGCTCTTTTATACTATACAAAGTTTCAGTTTCTCAGCTTGAGTCAGCACTTTGTGGGAAAATTATGCAAGTGATTTGCAAACCTGAAGGGAGAGAGTATATATTGCAAATATATTTTCAGGACACTCCTCTTTTTAGATTTGGAATTCATGTTAATGCTACGGGGTGAAATGTCTAAACTGCTTTAGTTCCAAGTCTTTCAAAGTTCCCTTGTGAAAGAACGGAGAAATTGGGTATTGCAAATCTCAACATTTGTTACATAGGTTAAGCAAATAACTGGGTTAATTCAGTATTTATAAAGAAGAAAACTTAAAATGCGTGCACTCAGCTTTTCTTGTGTACAAGCAAACCTTTCTTAAAGGTTTTATGAATTGTTTGCTTTTTCCAGTAAGATTTTGTTTCCATCAGAAAAAAAAAAAGCCTGAGGTTTGGTGTAGGAAATAGGTACTTAAGTTATATAATCTTAGCTCTGCTTCTAAACGTATCATATTGCAAGAGCTTTTAGTTGTGAAGGACAGATGCTTTAGCTTATTTCAGTTTTTTTAAATACTTGAGTGGCTATTTTTAGTTTAAGAGTAAGATAAAATCTTGGGAAATTCTGTTTAATTATCTTATATCTACTTGTATGCAGACCACTTACAGATCTGATCTGCTAAAATTAACTTGTGTTATCAAAAAAGAAGAAAATTACAGAATGTCCTGATACTATGTGCAGTAAAATGAAACCCAGTTGTCACATGAGGCCAACTAAAGTCTTGAAAATAAAGGAAATTGCCAAGGGAAGAGGGAGCTGGCACAAATGAAGCAGGCTTTTACTCTAAAATTGGGACTGTGCGTTCTTACATGCATCCACAAGTAGCATGAGGGTTTAATAGCAACAGACTAGCCCTTTAGATGGTCATGTTCTTATGCTAATTTTAACTATTGGATTAAGTTTTCCTTGCTAGTAAATTTCTTGTTGGGTTAGGAGAATATAAATGAAGAATATCATGGATGCAGAACAGATGCACCACTTGTAATCACTGGCAATGTACACAGTAAAATTATTTTGCACGCAGTGAAAGTTAAAATGTGTTTTCTTTTTTAAAAAGTGTGGATGGTTTCTGGCCAGGTGTTTGGTGTTAATAGGGGGAAAAAGCACCATGTTTAGTAGAAAAAACAACCAACCCACTTTCCTTAAGATGACGGACTTCTCCAGTTGATGTGTCATGTATCTTATTGATTGGAATGGTTTAGCACAGTACATTTTCCCCCATCAGAGAGAAGCAATTTTGGTGCCTTTGGTTTGTGTAACCATGGTGCTTGCTTTTCTATGCAGGACCTCTGCTCAGGAAAGCCAAAACCTTCAGAACTGAAGGGAAGGCTCTTCCCTTATCTTGTAGGGATAACTTATTTCTGGGAAGACTCTTATTAAATTATCTTACTTCTGCTTAGAGCCTCTACTGTAAGAGAGATAGGACAATCTGAAATAATTTTTTTCTTTTAAGGAGTCTGAAGAGCCAGAGAGATGTGGGACACTTTTCAGCTGTGGTTATTTTTTTTTTCAGTGGCTGGTAAGAAGGGGGGATCAATGCTTTGAAAACTATGAAAGGAGAAAGCCCCAGAAGATTACCTATTTACAAAGATGTTCCTAAGTTATTTTAAATATTTT